AGATTTGTAATCCTTGGTCCAAGCATTATTTATTTTTAAATATTTTAGAGTTTTAGACTGGAACTCGACGAGTTGGGAAGCTCCAACTCGTCATGTAGGAATTATTTTAGATGCGGTTTTAAGGACTCAACTTGACGAGTTGGGGAACCCCAACTCGACGAGTAGATGTTGGAAAAAACCCTAATTTTTAGGGTTTGCACTGTATTTAAAAGCCTTAAACCCCTTTGCTAGCCTCCCTCATCATCCCCCTTGTCCAGAGAAAACCTAGTTCGTGCTTTTCCTATCAATGTGAGTGTATGAGAGCTTAAAGAGTGCATTCTTGGTGTTTATTTGAGGAGGCTTGAAGGAGGAAGTGCATAGTTGAAGAAAGAGGTTGTAGATCTGGTGTCTTCACTGTTGTGGCGTTCATATTACGGTATAAAGCTGATACCTTGATCATTCATTTTCTATATCTCTCCATTAGAGGGTTTTGTACTATTTTAGCTTATTCTCGGGTCGCTCTTGGACTTGACCATGGTTTGAAGCTATGACTTCAGATCTGGACACCCCATGGCCTCTTTGGATGTAAACTTGACATTTTTATTAAGTCATGGCCCTCCCTCATGCTCTAAATCTCTTAATAAGCCATGTTGGAGTGGTTTAGCCCCTTAATGCCATGCATGGATGTAAAGTTAGAACCTCAGATCTGCAATATGAAACGTTAAAGAAAAGTGTTAGAGGCTTGATGGGTCAACACCCACCTTTGGGGGTAAAGTTGGAAACTTTACCCTCCTAGACGTCTCTATGGTTACGGATCTAAAGTTTGGAACCTTTGGGTTCAAGAAAAATGGCTTAATACATTAACTGGTTTGACATAATAGAGAACTCAGCGAGTTCATATGTGAACTTAACAAGTTGACTCGAGGTTTTCCCGATCTTCTGGATACTGTTCAAACTCAACGAGTTGATAAGATAACTCAACGAGTTGACTATGGTTTTCCTGATTCTCTGAGAATTGAAGGAACTCGATGAGTCACCATGTGCACTCGATGAGTTGGGTTAACATGGGCTGTTGACCTTGACTTTGACTTTGATTTTGACCGCAGTTGACCAAGTTTCAGTCTAAGGGTATCTTTGGTATTTCGGGATTTTGACACAGTTGGTCACATGATGATTGTAGGCAGTTGAGTTCGGAGCAGTGAGTCGGGATTTGATCGTATCGGTTTATAATTTTTGTGAGGTGAGTCACCTCACCATACTAATGGGTCAAAGGAACCAAGGTCGACCCATTATGTGTTATGTGGTATGCTAGTTAATTATGTGGTATGTAATATGCTAGTTGTCTTTGTGATATTTGCATGGAAGACCACGGGGGGATCCCGTAGCACTTGGATATCAGACCATGTAAGGGAGCCCATGGCATTTCAGGTAAAGACCATGGGGGAGCCCACGGCACTTGGATATTAGACCATACGGGGGAGCCCATGGCATTCCAGGTAAAGACCATGGAGGAGCCCATGCACATAGGTGTAAGACCCTGGGAGGAGCCCACAACATCCTTATATGTTTATATGCGTGGCTTAAGGGATTGATATGGATCATATGATTATGTGGATTATGTGGAGTATGCTCTGGGGAACTCACTAAGCGTTAGCTTACAGTTTGTTGGTTGTTTCAGGTACTTCAAGATCTAAGGGCAAGGGACCGGCGTGATGGCGTGGCATGCACTCTCTGGTGTTTTGTTTGGGGACACTCTGATTTATGAATAATTTATCTGATGTTATGAATTTTGAAAACAGTTGTGAGTGGGATTTTATAATTTATGGGAATGATTTCGTTATTTAAAAATGAAAAGTTTTATTGAAAAATTGGGCTGTGACAGATCACTCTCTATAATTTGGAACCTTACCATGAGAGGATTGGAGGTGACTGCTTCCACCTCCCGATTTAACAACCTCACAAACATTTACCCAGGAATGGTGAACCCGAAATACAAAAATATCATAAAGTACATCTGGGGATTAGCTTTAGTCGTTTAAGGTCTGGTTACTGCATCCAGAACCACTACCTTTAATAGTGCTAAACAATTGGCTGATTAATTGATTGAGTAGTATACCCTTCAGGAGACCATAACCCTACAAATATAAAAGAACCTGACTGGGAGTACAAAAAGGAAGTTTCATGGCAAGTCAAAGGAAAACTTCAAGCATTGTAAACCCAATCCAAAACCTATGATTGTGTACATTGTAATCACAAACACTCCCACTCAATCAAAGCCCTACTTTAGAACTTACCTCACTATACCAAGTTCAATTTCTACCCTGTCGGAAACTGCATGGTCTGCAGAATCTATAACTTGAGAGGTCCCACCACTAAGTTTTGTAGAAGAACCCGAACAAAGCAATCTCGACCCTTGCTGCAGATAGAAGCTTTATTTCCCATAAGTTTGGAAGCATAATTAACCATGAATCAATAAAACTTAATGAAGCTTACACGGTGAAAGTACCAAACAACCAATTAGAATGCACCTTATAAATACTCATTAATTGCCTTCTCACCTTAAAGAACCACGACATTCACGTCAACCTAATACATATGACCATTATAAGTTTCTATGTGATCATCGAAATGGATTGGTTATTATTTCATCGAATAGAAATTTTGTTATGAAAATTTCATCTGACTACCTTTTCCCAACAGTGAAACTCTCGTGATTTACATAGATAAATCAACAAAGAATCTAAGAATCATCTCTTGCATGAAGGAAAGAAGGTGTTTGCATAAGAGACGCTTCTCTTTCTTGGCCCACGAGGTGGATATACAAAAAAAGGATAAGGAAATCAAAGATATACCGCAATTATGTGACTAACCGGACGTATTCCCAGAGGATCTAACAAGAGTACCTCCAGTCAGACAGGTAAAATTCCGAACTGACCTGATCGTGGGTGCAACACGAGTGACACGGTCTCCTTATCGTCTAGATCCATCGAAAATGAAAGAACTATCCGGTCAACTCCAAGAACTTCTTGACAAAGGCTTTATCCGGCCAAACTTCTCTCCATGGGGAGCTCCGATATTATTGTGAAAAAGAAGGATGGATCGTTCAGGATGTGCATTGACTAGAGTTGAACAAACTCGCCATCAAGAACCAATATCTACTATCGATGATCGATAACATGTTCGACTAGCTATGAGGATCCCGTTACTACTTAAAGATCGATATAAGATCCGGTTACCATCAACTCAGAGTGCAAGAAGCTGACATTTCAAAGACGACATTCATGACTCGGGAAAGTTGATAGATTATTACCGGAGATACATCGAGAATTTATCCATAATAGTCGAGCCTCTCACCACTCTAACCTATAAAGATAAAATTTTTGATTGGGGAGACAAACAAGAGTCTACCTTCCAGAAAATGTAACAATTGTTGTGCAGTGCACCAATATTGTCTCTTCCAGAGAGAACATAAGACTTTGTTGTATTCAATGACACCTCACACAAAGGGTTAGGAAGCGTACTGATGCAAAGGAATAAAGTCACTGCACACGCATCAAGAACACTTAATCCAATGAAACAAAAGCATCGACAAAGGAATAAAATACCCCACTGAACTCTAGTAAAGAACCGAAGTTTACTTGGAAACGTGATAACCCAAGGAAACAAAAGCATCGACAACTTTTCAGCGTTGCTCCCTCCACTACTAGAATGAAATACTAGTAGAAAAAAATGATAATGGGACGAAATATTCATGAACATAATAATTTCGGTTCGAAATTCCCTTAACGGGTAGGTAATTTGATGTCCCGGAATTTAAGTCAAAGACTGTGAATGGTCAAGTTCACAATAAGTCTCTTGGTAATTTGACTCAATGAGTTTTTGTGCATCTAATGTAAAATAAATGAATTATTTCAACTATCATAAGATACCATATGGTATCTTACTTCCAAATATGGAATCCAACAAACAAATCAAATAGCTCAAACTGCAACCAAAGGAATGCATCTGAAAAATTGAAATTTCATATTCAGCCGTTGTGAGCAATACAAACACTCTAGTCTCGTAGCGTAGAATATCTTTCCCTAATTTTTGTAACTATAACGAACATCCAAAACGAAATTCGTATGCAAAACATATGACCGTCTTATGAATCCAAAACCAATATAATACTGATTTTCTTAAGACTGCTAAAACGATTTCCATCTGTTGAGGGACTTGGACACCTCAAATAGAAATTTCGAAAACATTTTTGACCTCGGATTATAGCCTAATATTAATTTCATATTTGAAATATTTTTATAAAAATATTTATAAAAGTTAAAAAAAATCAGACGTTTTTAGACTATCAATCGCGAAATCTTAGTATATAGATTTCGACATAATTTCTATTATTGGTAATCTATTTAAGGAAAATATAGAAATCTAAACCAGTTGTTGTGGATTTTAACGATGGTAAAAGCACAACACTCAATAATTTCTTGAACAACTATATATATATATATATATATATATATATATATATATATATATTATATATATATATATATATATATATATATATATATATATATATATATAACTGGTAACAAATGTATCATGATCAATTAGATGTGGTTGGATAAATTGTCACAAATATTTGTCTATTCTATATTTAACAAACCTAGGTTTAACAAATTTATAAAATTTACATTCCTAACGTACGAGATTAAATTTATATATATGTATTATACAAGTTATATAACATATTCATGATAAATGAAAGTATATTATAATTATTAAAAACTGGTTTGTAACAGTTTTAAGTATACATACATATGTATGTAAGAGGGAAATACCAAAAATCCATTCCAAATCAAACTAATACACACAAATACATACCCAATTAAAACATACATCAATGCACACACATTACACCAAATACAAAATACAAAATAATAATAATAATAATAATAATAATAATAATAATAATAATAATAATTGAAACTTATACAATACAACTTATGCCAGTTATTGTACAACTCTCACTCATTACTTCCAAGCTTCATCCTAAACAAAACCACACGCCAAGTTTCTGCTGTCCTTCCATTGAAGCCATTCCGTTTACTGAACATTCAAGGAGGAAAGAAAGAATTAACACTTAAGCTCAACGTATAACAAATGACTTCAAGAATTATAACAACTGCCTTCAAACCATTCAAAGTTTCACCTGAACTCTTCTTCTTCGTGAACTGTCAAATGAAACAAACCCAAACGCCTCCATGTTTCCTTTGATGCTGCATCAGTTCCAGTCAAGAACACAAGAACAAACACCCATCGATTTCCCTGTAAAACATAAACCCCAAACATTTATCCCAGTTCATCCATCGATATCAGGCAACAAGAGAGAGAGAGAGAGAGGCGGGAACAGGGGAGCTGCTGGAGCAGCCCCCATTTAATTACCTGCAAATCGCCGGAGGAAGGCTGTCCCTCTCCATATTGCTCGTTGATCACCACCGAGACCGAAGCCTTTTCCCTTTTTCCTTCTCTTCGGCCACACCGGAACCCTCCCTTTCCACTGATCGAGCCCCTCGCACCTTCCACTTCTTCCGTCGAGCAAACCCACCGAAGATCTAGACTCGTCGCTACTGCTGCTTGCATCGCTCCAAGCGGACCCGTTTCTTGTCCCCCTTCACACCCCGCAGCCGGACGAGCAGAAGAAGCCTCGCCGCCTCCAACTCCTCGTGCGAGCTTCTCCTTTCTTTCAGCAGAAGCCGCGCTGCTGCCTTTGTGCGCCTCTTCTCAACTGTAATCATCCGTTCCACCAACTTCGTTGATTCATTTCATCCTTCAACAAATGATGGGGACAAATGAGCCCTAATTTCCTTTAAGTTAGATCAGCTTCAACAAAAACACGTTGATTTTGACCAAGTCAAAATTTAAAGAAACTCAAACTTGCATTTAAATTTATCAAAATCTACCTTCATTTGACAAATACCTTACAAGATTAGTCTCAATCCCCAAACATTGATTTCATTTATTTAAAACAGCCCCTCCCCTTGAGATTTCTTAACAAAATCAGTCCATTTCATAAACTTAAATTCCATTTAAGCAATTTCAGTCTCTCTTTTGACATATATATTTTAACCAAGGTAGTCCTTGTACCTAGAGTATAAGTGTTTAGGAATAAATTAAAGAAATATACAAAAGTTTGAGGCTCGCGATGTGAGTATAATGTTTCAGCCGATCGTCTCCCTGGCTTCAACAAAAACATGTTGATTTTGACCAAGTCAAAATCTAAAGAAACTCAAACTTGCATTTAAATTTACCAAAATCTACTTTCATTTGACAAATACCTTACAAAATCAATCTCAATACCCAAACATTGATTTCATTTATTAAAAACAGCCCCTCCCATGAAGATTTCTTAACAAAATCATCCATTTCGTAAACTTAAATTCCATTTAAACCATTTCAGCCCCTCCATTGAAATATTTTAACAAAATAGTCCTCATGACCGGGTAAGATAGACCGGAAGGTAGGCAGACACCCCAAAATGGCCTAACACGGGTAGGCCAACACCCTAGAATGGTTTGACATGGGTAGGTCAATACCCCAAAATGGCTTGATACGAGTAGGTCGGGCACCATAGAACCGCCCGACAGTATGTATGGTTGTATGGTATGCGGTATGATGGAATGGGATAACTTGTCGATTGTGCAGGGGAAACAGGATGATGAAGGCTCAATGTTTTTGTAGGGCTAACAAACTAATTTTTCTAATTTAAAGGATATTAAATGTTTTAAATATTTATCATAATTAAGTGTCACTAAGATTACTATTATACTCTTTTATGATTTATTAGTGAATTTATTTTTGCTTAATTTTGATTGGTTGTTAGAGGCACACAATACTTATTGAAAACATATGAACCTAACTCTCTCTCTCTCTCTCTCTGTTAAACACTTAATATTTACACCTTTATATTATTATTTTTTAATAAACACGTATAATACATGGGTCTCACACCTAGTGTTGTGTGTGTCTATATATATATATATATTATATATATATATATATATATATATATATATATATATATATATATATAGACACACACACACACTAGGTGTGAGACCCATGTATTATACGTGTTTATTAAAAATATAATAATATAAAGGTGTAAATATTAAGTGTTTAAACTTAAAGTACTATTTTTACATAAATACAAACTTAAAGTACTACTTTTACATAAATAAAAACGAAATGATAAATAACTAAGTAATTCAATTTATACTAATAAAAAACTATTCAAGTATTCTAAATAATTGTGTTGAATATGAAGATGTCAACATTAAACATTTTTTAAAGTAAACTTTTGAAATAAATACAAACGAATTGATGAATAAATAGGTAGCTGAATCTATACTAATAAAAAAATTATTGATATATTGTAAATAATGTTATGAATCATTTATTTCCAAAGACTTATTTGAATATAAAATTAGATGTTTTATTGCTAAGTTTACTATCATTGTCTAAAAAATTAGAAGATGTAAGTTACACTAAAAATAAATAATATTTATAACTTAACGTATATATTAAGAAAAAAAAAAAAGAAAATAAGTGAAGTGATATCATTGGAAATGATATATAATGAATTCATTAAATAAAAATTGGAAATAGAATAAAATCAATGTGATCATGATAAACATTAAGTATGAAATAATAACAATACTTAATATAAATATGTATTGGTTATTTCACAAAAAACTACCCATAATAAATTAAGCAATTCACTAACAAAAAAATATCTAACACAAAGTTACAGATGAAAAGTCAAATAAATTGCATGATAAAAAAAGAAATATTGCTTTGTGTGTTGGACATAATCTTTTGTTATCCAAATATAACTTTTTAAGTTTTCTTTTCTCTTTAACATCGTTAGATAATGGACTTATAATATTAAAATTGAAAGCGGATTGAAAATTTTTATGTTGATATCCATATGATATAATTTGGGTTGGCATTTTGTCCACTTACAATATACGTAGAATTATTTGGTTACTTAACATGAAAAGTTGATAAGATACAAAACAATATTTTTATAAGAAAAATTAGATTTAGAAAATGCATGACAATAAAATTAATTTTACTTGAAGATAAAACAATTATCAATTTCAATGATAAACATAACATTGGATTTTTCTATTATCCATAAGTAATTTGCTTTGTTTTCATATGTGTTTAGTGTTGGTGGAATCCATATTGTATTGAAATCTATAAAACAATATTAGTTATTTTAATATAATTGTTTTGAAAAAGTGTTAATTTGTTTTACCAATTAACCTAGTAAAATGGAGAGATTACAAAGTAAAATGTATATATAACTAAAAATGAAGTTTATATATGAATTTTTTGAATTTGCAAGTACAATGCCTAAAATGCTAATTTCCATTTTTTTTTAAAAATTGTATTACATGTATATTAAAAATATATAGTAATTAAATGTCATGTAATAACATAAATAATATTATATATATATATATATTATATATATATATATATATATAATATATATATATATATATATATATATATATATATATATATATATATATATATATATATATATATATAATGGTAGTTGGGCCTTTTATTAAATACCAATGGTCAAAGCAATACTTATTTCGGTCTTTAGACAATATTTCGAGCACATTTCTAAGTTGGGCTAATAAATAAAAGGGAAAAATGAAGAAATAAGGGAAACATGAACTCAACATCAAGTTGGAAGAAATAAGGTAATTAATATATATATATATATATATATATATATTATATATATATATATATATATATATATATATATATATATATATTTATATATATGAAGTTTAGTAATAGTAAACTTGCTATTTTTTGGTAGAATTGGTCTTCAAAGTTAGGAATAGTAAATTTGGATGTTTTTTTGGCAACTTTGCTCCTCAGTTTTTAGCCATTTTGACACTTTTGGTCATTGCAATCAATATTTTTACACTTTTAGGAACCTTTTAATATTTAAAGTTTGGCCACAAAACTTTAATGGTTTGACAACTTTGATCCATTTTCTAAAAAGTGCCTAATTCCTACCCCATTAATTCTTTAGCCATTTTGACACTTCTGATCCTTGCGGTCAAAACTTTTACATTTTCTCATAAAAACATGAAAAAAACGGTCTGAGCAAAGCCCGGGCTTTTCATCATTTCACTTTATATTACTTGTATTATGGGTGGACTTTTTAGATGAATTTATCAAGTTGTTTATAAATTGGAATCTCATCATTAAATTTTCAATATTTCACTACTTCTAAAATTATTCTTGACTACACCATTTTATTTTTTAACATAGTGGCTGTTAAAACATAAATCGTCTATATTCATATCAGTCATGATGATGCATATTATGTTTTAAAGAGTTAGGGCTTGTTTGATGCACCTTCTGATTAGGTCCAATGCTTGGACTCAGTCAGAATTCTTGAGTCAGTGTGTTTGTTTTGCTGCTGCAACCTTCGACTTGGTCCAAAATGCTGATTGGGTCCCCATTTTTGTGTTGATTCGGTCCAAAGGAAAAACATGGTTGGCCGGGGGAATGAAGAGAAAGATACGCTTTACCCTCTACCAGCAACGCTCCTTCACTTCTCCTTTGACGACACATATTCTCCATTCCTTCATTCCTTGCCTGCGATTGATGAAGAATACCTATTTTACCCTTCATAATTTTGTTTTATAACCATCAAAATCGAATCTTGTCTCCAAAAAAACTACAATCGATCCTATTGATTTCTCCAATCGATTTTATCATCTCCAAGCCAAGGTATATGATATTAAGTATGTATGAGCATCAGAACCGGGTACCCGCTTTTGGAACCGGAACCACCTTGGAAGTATTGGTTCTGGCACTAGAACCGCCTTAAACGGTTCCGATTCCGGTTCCTAAAGTTATGAAACCGCCTTAAGCGGTTCTAGTTCCGGTTCTTATTTTTTCGGAACCGCTACCCGCTGGGTACCCGCCGAAACCGGTTTATATATATATATATATATATATATATATATATATATATATATATATATATATGTGTGTGTGTGTGTGTGTGTGTGTGTGTGTTATTTATATCGGTTTTAGAATATATTGGTATGATTTTGTCCATCTTTGGCCCGATTTGATTCAATTTGGATCGAACTACATTGCAAATTTATTGATAAAAGGTAAGAAAATTAATGTAACTAGGTTACCCGCTAACCGCCGGTTCCGGGATTGGTTCCGAAAATTTAAGAACTGCCTAGAGCGGTGCCGGTTCCGGTTCTCGCCAAATAAGGCGGGTATCCGCCTATACTCATCCCTAATATTAAGATCAAATCCCTGTAATTAGTTTTTTTTTTTTTTTTTTTTTTTTTTTTTTTTTTTTTTTTGTGTGTGTGTGTGTAAACTGTCTTCAATTGTATCAATGCTCTTGCGATTCAGTTGTATCATTGATTGTTTATTTGAAGTTTTTATAAACAATATTTGAAACTGTTTGAATTGGATGATGAGGTAGTTGGCTATACACACACCGATGTTTCAATATATTGGTTTAAATACATGTTTTTTGCTTTACATATTGATTTTGCAACTGATGCTGTTGTGTTGTAGAATTTACAGCAGAATATGAATAAAAACTGTGGAAACAAAGTATTTTTTTCTCCTGATGATGATGTGATGTTGTTCTTGTGACCAGCCTTAGTGTGGTCTATCTTTTTTTTTCACCATTTTACCCTAAATGGTGATATGTTGCTTGTTTTCTGGCTTCCCTTGTTAATTTTTTATATTTTTCTCAACCTCACTTGTATTAAAGGATATAACATAAACATAAAGAAGTAATTTTTCACTTTGTTAAATCGTTATTGATATTGTTTTTTCCTTTTTGTCTTTATATGTTGTTTAAGCTCTTGTAAAAGTTGATGTTTTGAAGCATATATCTAAATGTTCCTTGGAATAATAATTGCCCCATCAAATTAAAAAAAAAAAAAAACGGTAGTCATTATTTAGTGTTAACTGTATTAGGTTTCGATTGTTCCGATATTAAATGATGAATGTTAAAATTCCCAAGATTCCATTAAGAATGTTATCTTTGTTGTATTAGCTTCTTTGATTTTGTCTATTCTTATTTTTTATGACTTTTTGGTTCTTACTATGCATTATGTAAAAAAAATAATGTTATAAATTAAATGATAAATTATATATATATATATATATATA